TGACTGCAGTTTTTCTTTTTTTAATCACCCACTCCTAAAAGCTTGGGGCAGTATAGTTTTCACTGCAGAGATTAGGGCAATCAGTTTGCTATCACTGGACAGCTTCTGAAGAAGCTGAGAGAGCTCCTAGTCCCTTTCCATCTGATTGCTCTTGTTATCTAGTTGCAGTAGTGAAAAGAACAATGAGAAGGAACCATAGATTCACCTCACCTTGAAATTGTCTTGGCAGTGGTGCAAATCAGACTTACAGAAGAAGGCAAGGAAAGGGACATGAAGACAATGGCAAGGAAGGGAGGCCACTTCAGAGGGAACTCATGGAAGGCACCTTGCACAAGGCTCCACGAAATATCTGGAGTTCTCAACTAAACCTCCTCACAAAGTCAAACATATCTGTTTGAATTTGTGTCCATCTCTCTTTACTCCTTCTTTCTTGCTTCACTGCCTTATTCTTACCCCAACACATCTCTTTTCCCAGATTCATGCTCTTCATTTTTCAGTGAAAACCTTGATGCCCTTCAAATTAAGATACTCTTTCCATCTACTTCAAAAGGCCCATTCCTGAAGCAGGAACAATACTTCTTATGACATCTGTACAGTGCCTAGCTCACTAGTGACACAAGATGTACATTAAGCAGTAGTAGCCTCACTGAAGCCTTCTGCCCCTGATTTTACAAGATACAAAACTTTAAATAAGGCACATTAAATCCTCTTAGCAGTTAATATCTTATTTTGGAAAGAATCCAATCTAACTCATGGGTGCTTTGCAGCTGATACAGAACAGAAAGAAAATGCATTAATTTTTAACACCTGAGAGATTAGAAAAAAAATCTCATGAACTACAGGCAACAAACATTAGCTGGTGCTGATGTCAATCTGAAAATAGCACAACTGTAAGAATAATTTGGGAAGCTTGCACTATAATTGCTAATTTAGAAGGCTTTTAAAAATATTTTAGACTAGAATTGTTTTGAAGATGTGTTTGTATGTATAGTATGTACAGAGGGAGACATAACTTGTATAAATATGCTTATTGGTAACAGTAATAATAAAACATTAAGATGTACTCGGAGCTTTTCTACAAAGTTTTTATCTGTTTGGTCTGGGTGATTATTCAATAAAATGAAAAAAACAAAAAGTGCACCTAGAACATTGTGGTGAAATTACACTTGGTTAAGTTACACTTTGGTTAGTTGTACTGTATGAACAATTGGAAATTCCTATATCGCTCCATGAATCTGATGAAGAGGGCGATATGCCATTCAAGCCTGTACTAAAAGAAATGAGTTAGTCTTTAAGGTGCCACAAGAATCTTCATTGTTTGGATCGTATTGAAATCAATGTGAAACATCAGTTGTAGTTTCAGCCCCATTGATTCCAGTGAGAACTCAGTGCAACAACTGCAGTCTGGATCTAGCTCTTTATAAACAAGCATGACCCTTGAAATAAGCATCAACAAAACCTTTTTCAGAGGAAGCCTTCAGACATCCCACAGAATGTATGAACAGAGTAGGCTGGCTGTGTGAAGCATCCCTCTACAAGGCTGAATTATTTGTTATATTCCACATTCTGTTCTCTCCTCCCTCTAGGGAACCTATGCATGGTGATTTCCTGCCCTCCTTCATTCCTGTAAGGTAGGTTAGGTTGAGAAATAGCAATTGCCTAGGGTCACCCAGTGGGCTTTGTCACTTACTTGGAACATGAACTGTGATCCTGCTCTTCCTAGGTTAGCACTCTATCTGCGAGGCCACACTGGCTGTATTTAAATCAGGTTCATGCCCTGGATGTGATTAGCATCCCCATGCAGACCACTTGCTTCATATGTTTTGGGTTAGCATTGTGTGCATCTCTCTATATAAAATGCACCCAAGCCTGATCATTCCATACTTTCCATAACTTCTGCTATTGTCTTACTCTGACATTTCCCTTCTGTACTAGTTTCTTTTTCCAACACATTTTACATTTCTAATCATTTTCATCCCTTGTACAAATATTGCAACCATATTTGTTGGCTTCCAGCCTATTCTCTTGCATCCAACTGATGGTATGTGCATTTATTTGTTATTCTGTGCCGGTACCATCCTCAGTTATTAAGTTTCATGTTCTTCCTGTGTTCTTTTAAATATCCTTCTTGTCTGTGCTCTTCCGTGGTCAGGACTGGGGAAGGAAAATCAACAACACATCTCAGCCCTTTTGGATTAATGTGGTTTGCATTTTCAACTTGAGTGTGTCTCATTTAAAAGCTGTTTCCTCCCTTTGCCATTTCAATATCCTTATCTCCTCTGAAATATAATGCAGTTTCAATTTATAGACTGCCTTTCAAATCAAGCAGTTCGAAGCCATATATAAAATAGAGGAGGAGGAAGATGTGAAAACTTACTAGTGTTGGCAAATAGAAAAAGGCTTGATTTAACCTCAGATACTTTAGGGGCATCCTATATTTTAACATGTTTCTGTGCTTTACTCCAATTTTTTGATCTTTGTTTTATTCTGTGGCATGGTAGAGGGGGATACCTGCTGTTTTATTTTTCTTTCCTCTTTTGATTCTCATCATTTTTTGGTTCTTTAATCCTGTAAGTGTAAATGACATATTTAGATTTATTTTCCATTACCCGCAGGATGAAATGAATACATGGAACAGAAAGGCCTGGATCCTGAATGTGCCTTGTATGAACAGTGGACTCCTTCCACTCAGTTTTTGATTCATTGGTGGGTCCTGTTGTTGGAAAGGGAAAAGCAATTTTTCTCTAATTCCCCATTCCCCCGGCAGAATCAGGTTTCAGAGCTGATTCTGAGGGAGAACAAAGGTTTACAGGGGATTTTCTCTCCCCTTCTGTCAGAGGAAACTTCAATGAGCAAATCTGCATCATTGGATAGTCTTACCAGTCGAGGCAAACAGAATGTAATCACTGTATAACCCAGAGGTATATAATGTGTAGCCACATCAACCCCACCCAGGCACTTCCCACAGACACTTTTGTAGACTCTGTTAATGATGCATAAAAATAGACATTATAAAAACAAATATTGCAAATATTTGCCAATATCTGAAATTCCCCCAGATTTCACTGAACCACCCACAATTTAAATCTAGATTTTTAAAATATGAAATTTGAATTTGCATGTGAAATGTCCCTTTAAAATTTCTGTTTAAATACTATAGGCAGCAGTCTTCTACCCAGTTTCTTTGAAGTAAGTCACATTGACTTCACCATAATTTAGTTCTGAGTGGATATGTATAGGATTGCAGAGTTAGCTTTACTGTAGCCTCTAATTTTTACTCCTCTCTCTCTCTCTCTCTCTCTCTCTCTCTCTCTGTCTCTCTCTCTGTCTCTCTCTCTTTCTGTGTGTGTGTGTGTGTGTGTGTGTGTGTGTGTGTGAGAGAGAGAGAGAGAGAGAGAGAGAGAGAGAGAGAGAGAGAG